GTGCCCGGATTTTTCCGGCCTACTTCGAGACGTCGCCACCGCTAAGAGGGTCCAGACGAGCTTTCTGGAGTATTTCTCGCGTAATTACGGTGAGCGTCGAATTCCATTGTGAGTGCACGCGTGATTCTCGTGGTAAATTCAGTCGACGGCCATTTTGGGCCCGTTCGATAATTAATTCGATTCTGCTTGTGACGCGGCACTCAGTAGCCTTCCGCTACTTAATTACTTGATTAGTATTATGATTGTGATTCTTTGATGTTCCTTATTATTACGGAAATTTTCTGTGTGGGGGAAAATTGGTTATTAATCATTTACTGTGTTAATCTTTTCCAATAATCTTTCGTGTCGTGGCTCTCAACCTTATTATTATTTCTTTTGTTTATTATCAATAATTTAATTAAATTTTTGTTTGTTAAATGCACTTAAAGTCAAGTATTGAATCTTGTCTATTTCAATTATTTTACCATATCAAGATTAATTTCTTTTGATTTAATTTGGTTTATGTCGAGTCTTTGCTCGCGGCAGTCCTCTCCCGCACTTGTACAAAAATTCTACATTGACTCTCGTATGGACGAGTAAAAAACCTCTACAGTAACTCATTGATTGAAAATACATTTTTTTCGTTTCATACAATTTACATAGTGTTGAATTACGCTCATTGTAGCCTGTTTCCACACACCTCCGCGGTTATCTAAGCTAGTCATGGAACGCGTATCACCACTATGACCTTGTCCTTTGGGGGTTAAAAGGACTGGCGTCTTGATTGGTAAATTTGTCTTCTCTCGTTTATCCCCATCGTTCTGATTTCGGGTTGAGAGAGTCCAAAGGGTCGCTGAAAGTTCGTGGAGAACCACGCGTCTAAATCCCACAGACGCGCTTGGAAAAATACCTCACAATATATATAGAGATGGATAGTTTGGTGACTTAACGGTCTTTCTAGACGACATAATGCGGCTTTGAGAGTGCTGTATTTCCATCTGCGGCACTCTTATGGGATAGACAGAACACCACTGCTGCCGTATGCTCCAGGAGATATTGAGTCCGTTGTCGTGAACGAGAGGTGTAAGATTTACTGGAACTTCTCGTTCGCGACTATCAGATCAATCGTTGCGACGAAACCTGACATCGTCTTCTTCGATTTTGATGACAAAATCATCTATGTCATTGAGTTCTCAGCTCCGGCTGAGAGCAACATCACAGTTAAAGAAGAGGAGAAACGGCTCAAATACCAATCACTCCTGTTTGAGCTACGTCAAATAAACAGAGGATTTGAGGTAAAGTTGGTTGTCCTTATTATTGGCTCTCTTGGGGGAATGAAGGAGTCATCCATATCTGCGCTCAAAACCATCACGGCCTGTAGGCGTCAAGCCTTCAATTTGGCTGGCCAGATGCAGAAGGCAGTCATCCTCGGGTCCCTTCGTCTACTTATGCAGCATGATTCTGGATTGCAATAGAGCTCACCCTTTGGTTAGAGGGAGCACTATTGCAGAGCGATAAGGAAGTGTTTGCGTCGCTTAGCTTGCTGGACGGTCTTCGAGGTAAAGTCAGAACCCTCGAGGATCGTTCAGCGATCTCATTTACGAGTAAAAAAAAAAAAATACAAAATGCCAGAAACTCCGGTCTACCCTACTCGATACAATCCAAAAGAATTAGGAAGCAAAGATATCTGTTGAATTGCTACCCGGAGAAACACCGAAGAGGCTCAGTTGTTCATTTATTAATTCCCCAAGGACCAATGTACGGTGAGCAGGTCCGTAGACACTGCCTGGGCTTCCTCAACGCCTCTTACCCGCGATACTAGCCGAGATATGTCCTCTCTCTCCGTTGCGCCTCCGGAGAACAAAGATACAAAGGAAACGAAAATAAAATAGTAAACCCAATTAATAATATCGCAGAATATACCGTAGTTACTGCCAATCGATTTGTCCCAATATTATCTGTAGCTAAGACGCTCGTAACGCTCGCAATGAATTATTGTATTTCACTCCGGCAAGCACCGACGCGACGGCCACGCGGTTTTATCAAGATGGAGTCGATAGCCTCCATTCGCAATGAGATTCGTCGAATGTGCACGAAAAGCTTCTTAATTGGATCCACAGAATAGATGCGAAAATTAGAGAAACTTAAAGCAATGCAAAGCTATTGACAGTAGAGATGGAAGTGAAGAAAGAGGCGGAAATGACCATTGCCCACTCAATCTCCTGCCCTCTCGCTCCATTTCTCTCGGACCTTGACATTGGTCCTGGATTCAGGGAATTAGCCAATCCCGGCCTTATTTCCATAATTTGCCGGCCACGTGCTGGTCTGTGGTGTCGTCTATTCTCTCTGGGGTCTATCTCCGGTGTCAGGTGGTCTCTGATGTCTTTCCGGAGTGATGGAGTTTCCCGTGGTTGAGTTTCACGGATTACCAATACGAGGATGACGTCCAGGTGTACGTTCATGTTACCTGTTAGGCTGGGTGGGCCCGTCGTGTGCTGCGCCCTAATAGTATTTTTGGGCTAGCGGGAGATCCAAATTCTTCCGGCAATGCAAAGTGTTTGTGACTCGAGTGCGGAGAGGTAACTGTGATGTTTTGCTCCTTTTTACGGCTTCTGGTCGTCGTGATCTATTTTCTCTCAGGCTGATGATGGTTCCCTCCGATGCCGGTGAAGTGAGTCAGGACTCCTTGTTGTCACTCGGAACTCATTCGGTAATATCATTCATAACCTCTACTTTAGCGACCGGTATATATGAGCATCGATAATCATTAATTGTTATTGTTTACCCCCACACGTTCAATCGCGGACACAAACGAACCCACTTCGTCACAACACCATGTTTGAACGCAATTTACGTTTTTATTTTGACCATAAAAGACGACTTTTTGAAGGCTAAATTCCGATTTTTATGACGGAAAAAAGCCACCAGATTATCATACACAGAAGAAAAGTTGGATTAAATTTACCTCGAAAATGTGACGTGAGAAGTTTTACTACACGAATGGTAATCCTGGAGCGAAATGCAATTCAGTAAAAAATACTGGTTTTTAGTGGATATCTTATGATTTTTTCGGTAAAAAAATTCATCTATGGATGCCAAAATTATCCTCCTGTTTAGTAAAATTTCCCACACCGGCAGAGGATTGTTTATTTTATACCCGTCATGGAGACGGACGGAAGCGAATTTTTACCAAACGGGTTCAGTGAAAATCATTCCCCGTGTATATTGGCGTTAGCAAAACGTATTTTACGTTTAGGTTTTTCTTGAGAACTTAAGATTTTTGAAAGTCTCAATTTAAGATCGTAAGTCTCAAACTAAGACTTGTTGTTTTTTAGTATAGGATATCCTCGATATGAATTTTCTAAGGCTTTTCCAGTTCATTTTTTGAATATTCTCGGTTATAATACCCCGAGAGCTTCAAAATGATCGGGTATTTTCCGATAACTTCGTTGCATACGAACGAATATATCAAGTTTCGCAGGTTAAAACAATCACGAGCACTTCCGCGAGGGATTTTTCCTGCGAAACTTGACGCATTCGGTTGTATGCAGGGAAGTTTGAGGGAAATACTCCGATTCATTTTGAAGATCGAGGGGTATTCGGCGGATTATTTCCTCCATCACCATTTCGATAAATAGAAATGTGGTATTCGGCGTTATCGTGGAGAAATTCGACATTTTTTTGTTATTCTGGTTGGCAACGGGAAAATTACCGAACGGCGGGGTATTATCGATATAACTCTATACTGATTGGACCATGGGGGACGTCGAATTCCGCAATTCTATTGTTCGGAAGGGTGATGGGGGAAATAATCATTAAAAAAATCGAGTTCTATTGATTTTTTTCTGTAGAATATTTTCCATCCCTAGTAGAAATCATGAGAGGCTCTGCGACATTGGCTGTTGCAGCGACGTTCACGCACGGAGTGGGCTGTCGTACTCCGCGGCTAGATCGCTGCTGGAACCCTATGCGTCACTGACGCGGTGCGCTCCCATTTTTCATTTCGTCGATAATAATAATCATCAATTACACCAATAGAAAGGATTAGTTATTCTTAAAAAATGAATTTGGTTGGCGGCTAGGATCTATTTGGTCTCACCAAATGTTCATTCGTTAATAGTTAACAAATGCATATTTGAGGAGCTTTGTTGGACTCGACTTTCACCTTTCAAGTGTATCATTCGTTAACTATTAGCGAAGATTTATTTGGTCATATTCAACGCTACTATTCATTAATACTTAACGAATCTCGTTTGGAATAAATGAATCAGTCTATCAGTGTATAGCTGCACGTGATTATTATTCACTAACAAATCGTTAATCCTTCAATAATTGATTTGAATTAATACGCATAATTCGAAGTTTGTGAATTCTTAATTGTGGGGATTTGAGGTTAGGGCTGACACAGATAAGTCCATCTCAGGGATTAAAAATCTCAATTGAAAAAAAAATCTCCTCATAAGCTACGGAATTTATCAATAGAATCATTCAGAAACTGATAGAAAGTTCCATAGAAGTCCAATAGAATTTTCTAGAGAATTCGCCAGGTTTTTTTATGAATGTTTCTCCCATAGGGTCGATAATTTCCACATGATTTGCCTGAATAAAAAATTCGAAAACAGATGCAAAAATAACCGTATCTTCAAATCAACGATCTTTTTCCGTTTTCTTTCCTCCTCACTAATCCCACAATACACAACTGCCATCGATAATTAATTCCCTCTACAATTATTTCTCCAAAGCGGTTGCAATATCCCTCCATGAGACATCCTCAACATTGGTTCACAACAATCCGTCCGCAAATAGTCGTAAAAATACATTCAACCGTTGCATCCATAATTATTCGCACGTGAACCCGCCTTTCTCCCTCTCTCCGACGATTCGCTTTACATAACTGACAAGCCGCATTGTATATTTAGCATCACGTAATTACTTCTCCCACAATCTTGTTCTTTCCACTACAGCGATATTCAGTGTCTGCCGAACTACGGAATCAATCGCGCGAGGGCTGTTGGGGACATACGCCTCCTGGAAACATAGCTCGTTTGTGTTTTTTTCCTGCCAATTTTCCTTTCTTCGGACGCTTGAGGCCAGTCGTCATCGCTAGCTCATGCCGTATGGACGCAATGTGCCAGTGACTGTGACCTATAATACCAAATAAATAACTTCCAAAATTCCACAAATTTATTTCAAGAAAATTGTGAATTAATTCACGTAAGTTGATTTTATATTCTCCCTTTGTCGTTAATTTTTATCAAACATATTCGGTATTTTTTTCTGTCATTCGTTTGAAAAAATGTCAACTGATAGCAGTTATCTCCCCATTGTTATTAATTTATTGACGTTATTTATAGAATGAGAAAGTGGGGAAAGAATAATTGAACGTCATTCATGATTACAATTAATGACTGCAAAGTGCATATTTCGTTGGCGTAACGTTGATAGCTTGCGGAGAAACTTTTATCATCAATTGTTAATTGATGGACATATGCAAATAACCGGAGAGATTCGCTTATTGTAATGTAATAATTACTCACATACATGTTGTGATAAAACAAATTATCGTTTTTTCAGTGATTGAAATTGACGTCACGAAATTCTTGACATTATTATCCTACACTGTTAAAAATTTTTGTCTGCAATTTCCAGTACACTTTTTAGAAATTTTTATCAAATTTAAGGGGAGACTAATATGAGTTTTAAAAGTCGCGTGCTATTGGAATGAGATTTCTCACATATATCGAAGATCGATTATATGAGTGCGTTTCGGAATCAACTACTGTAGCTGCAGTCAAGAAAAATTGGATAGGGTCGTAGTACTGTTACTGCGACTACCTCGATTGCGAAACGCACCCGATCTGTTGTCTAATCTAAAAAAATAAAAATTAATGGAAAAAAAATTGTTTATTATCCGTTTACCCGCGGACGCTTAAAATGTTGAAAATATTCCAGGGCTTCCAATTTTCGAGCTACAGAGGGTTTTTACAACATTTTTGAAAAAATGTGTGGAATAACAATTACGAATTAGTTTCTTTTTGAATCTCAACTCCTGCACACCTAATTTCATAATTTTTTCAATAAAAAATTGCACCATTTATGTACAATCGCCCGAAAAATGTTTCTGAAAGAATCGAGAATATTTTTCAAATATTTGAAGGATATTTTTTCTGCCTATTTTACATGAATGAGGCAAATTTTTATATTAAATAAAACGAAGTTAGCTGTGCAGGAGTCGATTTTCAAAAACCTACTCGAATGGGAATTCCGGTCAGGTCTTGATGAAGTTTGGATCAGGTTAGACCTGACGACTGATCAGGTATTGATCAAGTTGACGGATCCGGTCTTGATCAGACATGTTACGCCTCTGATCAATCCGAATTTGATCAGCAGGAATGGATCCGAACTTGATCAAGTCAACTGTATGAAAACTGGATGACCTGGCTATCAGTATCAATAACAATTATTAATGATAATTAATCCAAAACAAAAGATAATTCAATTCTTTCACCGTAGGCCGCCTCTCTTAATGAATCTCTACTGTTATTAACCCTGAAAAAGCTTATTATTTTTTTACCGATGCTGGGGATCGAACCGGGGACTCTATGATTGCTAATCCTATGCCCTAACCACTACGCTATCGCGCTGTTACTATTGAGTAAACTGTACATTGCCTATATGATTTGTATCGGGGTATTCGTTGAATTTACGATTATTCCTGATCTCGCGGATGTGCGTGTGTATTCTCAGAGATAAAATATATTCAATTAAATTTTTATTTATTTCATTAATGAATAATAATAATGATAATAACAATAACACTAATAAATAAATAGACATTGGGTGATTTTTTTCTCAAGATCATTCGCGTGTAAGTTTGATATTCCTCTAATACGTATTTACGGCATCATCATCCCTCCCTTCTGTACATTTGAGAAGGGCTGGCTGTTAATTAAATTGATTAATTGAATAAAATTCATTAAATTAAATTAAATCAATTTAATTAATTTTAATTATAGTATAATCCTATAGTATAATCCTTTTTAAAGATTAAAAATAGTTATTGATAACGGTTGATAAAACATAATTTGAATAGTATAATGATAGTTAATTAAATTATCCGAAAAACTTATTAAAATTAATGTCAGGTCAAAATTAATGTCAGAATTTGATCTGAACCCGCCTGTAGTTTTTCGGATCCGATCTGCTGGATCAGAACATGGTCAAGTTCTCATCAAGAATCACCGGATAAGTCGAACCTTACAAAAACCTGATCAAGTCGTGATCGTGCTTCCGGTGGGCCTGAAGCAATTTCCACTCGGGTAATTCGAAATTGTTATTGTACACATTTTTTTTATTTAAAAAAAAAACCTCTGTAGGTCACACATTGGAGGCCCTGGCGTATTTAAACATTTCAAGCGATAAATATATTCTTGAATTCTCAGAACAGTGACACTGAATGCGATGTAGGGGGAAAAAATCATGAAATTTCAGATTTCACTGAAAATTCAATGTGATTTGACACTGAATATTCATATTAGATTGGAAATTCAAATAAATTAAGGAATTCTCGAACTTATACTGCTTAAAATTCTGAAATTTTACAGAATTTTCAGTGAAACCGAAAATTTTATGATTTTTTTCCCCTAAATCGCAATCAATGTCACTGTTCTGAAAATTAGCAGTCAACTGCCCATGAAATTTTATTTTTTTTCTAACAGTGTAAGAACAAAAATAACTAATAGTTGTTGGTTTAGTATTCCGAAGGTTTTGTAGAATTTTGAGGTCAAAATGATTTTTTATGAATAGTTTTGTGCATGGCAATTAATAGATTGCCCTAATGACGAGGCATTTACCACTTGAAACGTTGGCAAAATACTGAAAATTTAGAGTTGACTTCATTTTTGGATGATAAAATTGCTGAGCACCGCCAAATGGCCTGCAGAAATAGGAGGAATTTAAATGTTCATACTGGCGGTTGGAATGTTCATCCTGTTAGAAACAATTATTCTTGTCGAAAACACAGTGCCTAGGAATATTTTTCTTTGGTTTCTCCTGGAAATGAGGAAGACAATTCTCTAGAAAAAGACAACGGTGGAACTAAATATTCCTAACTTTAAATTATGGGCAACCTACACTGAGAGAAAAATTTGCTAATGTGTAGACAATATTTACTTGAGAGAAGTAAATTATTTTCAGTTGTTTCAATGTCAGAATGCGTGCAGTTTAGGGAACTCGAATGAATTCTCATTTATCACTATCGCCGCGCATTATATCGTGAATATATTACAAATCGAAATATTGGAACTGCATAACAAAAAAACCATAAAAACAATTAATACAAAATCATACTTGAGTACAAGAATATTTCAAAGCATGGGATCTTTCTCGGGCCACGTGAGTTGAGATGTCTAGGAGAATTAAACAATTAAAGAAAAATTACTTGTTTCAAGAAAATATGTTTCAGACACTAGAAATTTTTGTTCTCCGTGTAGGTGCCTAATATGAATTTGATTTTTTTTGAAACTCCTCATGTAATAATTATGGGTGCTTTAGCAGACGTACCACCCTCCCATTTCCTCCCTTCAAGAGGTATATAATTTAAAAAATTATAAATTCAAAATTTCCAATTAAATTCAAGAACGCATGGTATGGCAGTTTTTATAACTGACCATACCAGCGTTTAGCGTTATTCAGGGTTCGCGACGTGGACGCAGCTGGTATGTGAACCTCAAAAAGCCAAAATAGTAAAATTAATTTGACTAAGCCACTTTTCCAACTTCCATAAAAACTTGAAAAAAAAGAGAAATCAATGAAAATATGCCAAGTCAGGGTTCAATAAAAAATCAGTAAAGACAGAACCAATTTGCTTGGCGCGGGTCAGAACATGGAAGATTACATTGATATTAGACAGTGATTGCAAAAAAATTGCCTCAAGGACTTTGGCTCTATCTTTACTGATTTTTTATTGAACCGTGACAGGGCTTACATTCATTGTTTTCTGTATTTTTTTCAAGTTTTTATAGAGGTTCTTTTTATCTAGACAATTGTCTTCCTCATTTCCAGGGACAGCCAAAGAAAAAATTTCATTGGAACAGTGTTTTTCTTTATACAAAAATGACTATTTTTGTTTTTTAGCGAGGAAATAATTAATTTTGTGCTTGTCTAATTTAGTCTGTTGAAATCAAATTTAATGTATTCTTTTCACGAAAAGCATACTATCTCCATTACGTTATTTTTTACATTTATCCATCTAGCAAAGTTTAGTCAAATAGATTCCGATAATCCATTTATGCATTGACTCCAACTGACAAATTTCCGCGGAATTTATTATTTTAGTGCTAAAATCAATTTGTAAATTCCTGATGAAAGAAAGGTTATTCAAATTTCCCACGTAAGCAAACCCGAAAAGTAACATTTACGTCACGAAATCCTTGAGATTATTGTTTCGGCAAGAATAATCATTATTTCTTGGTATCTGTACGTTTCACGACAAACGAGGAAAAGAAGAAATGATGCGATTACCCCATTCATCAATAAATCAATTGACCGAAGCTTCTTTATTCAGAAGTAATCTTTCGATGAGGGGAAGAACGATGAGTGTCGACATAATAAGTCATCTTGCTAATTGTGAAATTATTCCACTTATGAGGAATTGTGTGAACAAAACACCGAGAGATTTCTTTGTTGTCGAGAATGTTCTCTGCGAGAAAATTTCCTTCTAACGGACAACTTTTCTGATGATGATCGCTTTCAGATCGTTGTCTCAGGTATAGTCAAGGGCCCTCTCCCTACTTTATGGGTTTGACCCAATTTCGTCAGACTCCGATTTCCATCATCGACTCCGTTGACGGAACATCTATATGATTCCTATACGCAATTCGTCTACGAAGCCACTTCCGTGCATGGAAATATTTCGAGAATAGGGCCCCTGATACCGGTTTTTACACCAATTGTGGAATTCTTACCAATTCGGATCGTCCCTTTATAACGGATTTCGTTGTTCCGAAAACATTTTTTCAAGACAAATTTTTACGTTCGCAATATTCATGTGAAACCAATTTTTTTATTCGCAAATTTTCTAAGATTCTAGAGGTAAGGTATGTTCTAGAAATTGATCGACTCAAAAAAGTGATGATTCAAATACACCTAAGATAATAACACCTTATTTCAAAATTTCGAATGTCTCAAAATAAGATTATCAAAAATCTTAATTG